GTGCATCCTATCTTGCTCTAGATACTATATTTATATTTTCACTCGTTACGGCAGGGCAAATTAAAGGACATGTTACCATATTATTTTGGAATTTACGTGTTTAAATACTCAATATGCTAGAATAAAGATAAACGTATGTTGATGAGCAATATGTCTCACTGGCACAAAGAAATTTGCCAGTGAGGTTTTGAAATGAACCAGTATTCAAGATTTTGTATTTGTACGTTTTTAGTAGTGATGGATTTTTGATGAAATAGTCTGGTATGTTAGCACCTCTTTGCTCTTAAACTTTCTTGTATCTAGGTTTTCTTCATAGATCTATCATATCTATTTTTCCCAGCGTTCTGATAACACCAAGTGCATACAATAAGGTCTCAGAACACTCATAACGGCGAGATATATATCTCAATGATGTGCCACAATTGCAATCTCAACTTGAATTCGAATAAAGTGTTCATGTCTCTTGTCGCATCTCGCAAGATTGCCATTAAGAGCAGCTTATACACTGGTACCCTACCTTTACAACCTTTACTTTTTGTTAATAGTAACTTTGTTACTTTTGTCTAAATGTAGAGACAGGTTACCTGTCTAGAACAGTTTACTTTGCAAAATCGGATGCACTTTTGCCAGCATTCGTGCAGTTGCATCTGTATCATTGCCATTGACAAGTTAATGCATATTAATTATCTACATGTCATATGTCTCAAAATATCAAGTTATCAGCTGAATGAAAGCATCTAATGTGAGTATTCATAACTTTACCATGGTTCACCAATTTCAGATATTCTTTGCCCTGGTTTGCGACATCAACCATTGTAGCAAGCAATGATATAAATGAGGACACACTGTGTTCACTTAACGAGCAGGTAATATAGTAGTAGTATAATAGAAGTAAGAGTTGGAATAAGATTATATCAGCAGTAAATATCCTGATAATAATATATAAATCGCACATGGCTACATATGATTTTGTAGCCATTATAACAGCGATACGCTGTGTTCACTTAACAGGCATGCGACATAGCAATAGGAGTAAGATAATATCCGTCAGAGATAAATAATTATTTACGCCTGATGATATTATGTAAATGACACGGACAGTTTAGGCATTATGGCAGTGATACGCTTTGTTCATGAAATATTCAGTAAACAACAACGATGGGACGTTATGCTTAACAGTAACGTGATTTTGCAATAATAGATGGTATACACCTCGTAACCAGGTAATGTAAAGAGGACAGATTCTGTTCACCTTAATGTGTAAGTAATTTTATTACAGAACCCTGTCAAAAAGCAGGTAAATGAATTGGTGACATACCGTCTTTACCCAAGGAGAGAATAGTTGCTGTTGCTCTTTAGTTAATTGATAGCTCACCTGGAAATGACAGATTTTGTTCACTTGACAGGTTGATAACATACTGGGTTTGCAGGTAATTTTAACAATTGTCTTTATTCAACCAGATAGGGGATCTAGCCGCAGCACACGATGTTGATGCAGCTAACATTTAGTCATTAAATCACATACTACTACTTTGAGGAAGCTAGTTTTATCACGGTTATCCATGCAGTATAGCACCATGTGCGGGAGTCAAAGGTGCACAATCTGGATGTGCTAATGAATCATTTTTGCTGTAAACCTTTATTTTTCTTCTGGGTATGAATTTCACTGTGTAAAGTGGTGGAGCTGACCCAATTCGTTGGAATCTCGGTGCAAAATAACATGGATTTCTATATCTGTCGGAAGCTGCATAACGGGCTGAGGAACATCTGTACGTGTCTGCATTCAGTTAAATTTCCTGGCCGCAGCTGTTAAAGGGCGAGTGAAAAAGCCTGGATCGAAATGTCAAGGCTGTATTTTTAGAGTTTTGCTCTTTTTCTCCCACACAGAGCTTTGCCTCTGGGTCAGCAATAGCCTAGAACGAGGTTTACATTGCATTTACGTGCATGCTTGAAATATTAGTAGAGTTATGGTGATGTGTTTTTTACACTAAGCAACGGGATCGGTTGCACATGTGCGTGTCGTTGTGCACAAGTAGCAACTAACAAAGGCAGATATTCATCGGTAGTTTATGCCACGTGTATGACTAAAAAAGCCGCACCAAAAGGGAACATTTTTTAGTGGAGCTGATTTCCGCAGTCTGTCTGATAGGTTCTTATGTATTTACTCATGATGGATTAGGCCATTGCAATGATCATAGCGTTTGAACTATAACCGGAAAATGTTAGGGGCTTACAGCAAGCCATCTGGGTACTCTCTATCTATCTCTGTAGCGGCTTCCAGCATACTCTTCATGGTTTCTGTTTCCGTCAATGCAGAAGGCAAACCAGGGTGGGGGTGGGGTAGAGGTAACGATAATGACACTATTACAAATTTAATACGACTGCATGCCGATGAACAAGCCAATTAGTTGTTTTTTAAACATTTCTTTCGTAAATTGTTAGCTAAGTTCGTAAGTTCTTTTTAAATACTCAGCTCAGAGTTGGTGTGCAACATGCTGTCTGTAGCAGTGTAGCTGCTGATCTCTGCATAAGTACTGAGATTCGTCTCTCGTCTTGTCAGTGAATATAAAAATTTGCACATTATGTATGATGTGGGATACGGTTATTTCAGTCTTCACGAATGAAATTTCTAAACACTGGACCTTCGGTCCACCAAGCCAGCAAAATTTACTGGACCGGACTAAATTTTACTGGACCGGACTAAATTTTACTGGACCAATATTATTTTGATATTTTTGACAATAAAGAACAAAACAGTAATATCATTTTATATTTTACCTATAATAATATCTCTACACACCGCTATGATGAGACAGTAGTAATGACCGTATCAAATATACATCACATGCCTTCTACACATGCACTACAATAAAAGCTGCAAAATAGAACAACAAATCTGCGTTAGTCGTCAGTGAGCATGTATCACACATACCTTCTACACACTGCTATGATAACAGTAAGGATACCTATCAAATATACATCACATACCTTCCATACACTGCAATGATAACAGTATAGTGTCACCTATCAAATATACATCACATACCTTCTACACACTGCTATGATAACAGTAGGAATACCTATCAAATATTCATCATATACCTTCTACACACTGCTATGATAACAGTAAGAATACCTATGACGTTTGGTTAGCGATGAAACAAAGTTTAAAAAGTGTTATCAGTCCTTGTGTTTTGAAAAAGGCAGGCGAGTGAAAAATCACACGCCTTGGCTTGCCGAGGTGTGTGTGTGATTTGCATCCGAGTGCCCGCAGCTAGGTCACGAGGCAAACTAGGGGAGTTCGGGGGCATGGCCCCCCCGGAAAAAATTTGAAATCTAGACTTCATGAAATGCCATTTCCAGCATTTTGGACATTTTTTAGGTTTTTTTTTCATCTAACAAAATATCAGTTCTTGAACATATTGATGGATAACTTGAATCACACATTTAGCATGTTTAGTCAAAAAGGAACAAAACTCAATTTTTCAAAGCAGACTATTAAAACTTTAATAGTATTTGCAACATCATAATCATTCAGTCACTTGTTTGCATTTTTGTCAATTTGAGGTATTTCAGTTTCATTTCAAGAAAATCCTTCCTTAATCAAGCTTTTTCATTTTCATTGTCAGCTGCATCTTCATCATCAGTCTCGATCTGCTGTAGCAATTGAATACAGTAACAGTCATATTCATCATGTATGGCTCACGTATGATAGGCCGGACGGTTTTGGTTTTGGTTTTGTTTTTGGTTTTGGTTTTGGGTGGGTTCGGGTGCAAAGCAGTCAACGCAGGCAGTAGGCTTTGTGAGTCGGTCGAGTTGTGTGTTTACGGTTCAGTGTGTAACGGAAGAATACCAGAGTCAACGATACGTCCAGCTTTCGCCGGTGATAAATAAATGATGAGCGGATGAATTGATGTTAAAGACTGCTGTTGGTATAAGCGTTACAACTGTCGTTATAAACATGTGAACCGACTTCCGGCAATGTCCGTGATGTTTACAACCGTTTGCGTTTATCTTCGAGTTTATAAGTTGGATTAATGAAAAACAAAACACGAAGAGGTGTGCGTTTTGATAATGCTCAGATGCGCGTTTTTTCGCAGTTATGTATACAGTAAGTAGTCTCATAAATACTTTGATAAATTATTTAAATACTGTAACTAGAGTGGCTGAAAAAAACGGGTGGACCGACGGTCCATTTAACTTGTTAAATTTACTGGACCGAGAGAGATTTTGGTGGTCTCGGACCACGGTCCACCGCCTAACGTCGAAGACTGTTAGTTGTACACACACACAGCTCATGTGGTGGTAAAAAATTACAATGAGCGGGTTTGTCCCTGAGATTATATTTAAAAAGGTGTCACTAAAATATTATATAAACAGTAGTATAAACTAAAAGGATGTAGGAGGGAAGAGTCTGAAATTGTATACGACGTGTCACGTATACGACATATCACGTAATACACGTAATACGACGTGTCATGTATACGACGTGTCACGTAATCGGGAGACTGATGTGCATTTGGGGGGACAGGCGGAAAACCACATGAAATTCGATGAAGTTGACAACCCAAAGTTGTCCACGATTTCTCGATTTTAATGAGAGTGGGAAGAAAGATAGAGGGCCGAATAATCAGGTGGCATGATATAATAGTTGATGTCCGCTGTCCAAAAATACAGGAAATTAAAAATACGATTCGTTCAATTTGTATCTACGATTTCTCGATATTACCCAAACAAACTAATAAATCTCAATTCTTTTTACGTTTTCTGTTTAATTGAAGCTATGATAGATGTAAAGCTGTGATGGTTTGGTTGTTTAAATACCTGTTCTCATTATTACAATTGAATGTTCGTTTAAAATGTACAGCATGGTTTTTTGCAATTTGAACAATAATTAATCATAATCATCATTCATATTCATATACCTTTCAATTGATTAATGGGAAAGGGACCTGTTAAATCAATCTATGTATCTAGGGCCGACATGAATTTGTATTTACAGCTTGTGCAGCCGCTACCAACGCTGAGCGAGGTGCGCAAGAAAGTGCAGGTCTCCCTCAACACGCTCCGAGACGACCACAAAAGGCACCTCAACCCTACCCCATACAAGGTCTCTCGGTCTCTCTCTTCTCTCTCTTGCTCTCTCTTCCCCTCCCTCTACCTCCCTCCCCTCCCCCCTCTCTCTCTCTCTTTCTTGCTGTTTCTTTCTCTATCTCTCTGCCTCTCTCTGTGTCTCTTTCTGTCTCGTGTGTGTGTCTCTCTATCTGTGTGTGTGTGTGTCTCTCTCTGTCTCTGTATGTTTCTCTCTCACACTCTCTCCCTTAATCTCTCTGAACGTTAGTAATTGATCAATGGTGAAAAAGAACAGGAATGTTTCCAACTGATTGCAAATGAATTATTCTTGTTGGGGTTATAATTTTTGGCTTTTCGTTCCATGTTATTTCATTAAATTGGTTTATATCGTTCATGGCAAAAATGAAAATGAAAATGATAAAATACTCATCAATCAACTATTCATAAAATATAAAAGTCTTTGAGGAATGATGGTGGGCATGTTCTTATACTGTACTTTTATTTGCAGGTATCAGTGACAGACAACTTGTATAATTTTCTCCACGAACTCTGGCTTGAAAATGCACCCATAGGGGAGCTGTACTGATGCATTACCATCTACAAGTCTGTCCTGTTAGTTGAAAAGTGCTGGCATGTAATGATAGCGACCATATACGAATGTATTGTGATGCTGGGGTACTATCGATACATCGCTATGGTAACCATCACTGTATCAAAGTAATGGTGTTTATTTTGTTGATGATTTGCTATAGCAACCGTCTACAACGTATGCGTCGTGAATTCATGATATCAGAATATTGACGTGTGACAGCAAGAATTCCCAACAAATAATGACAGCTTATTTTGGGCACAATCATGGCATTATTTACTAGCCTAAAAATATACTGTGAAGCATATAGTCTTAGTGACCATTACTGTCATAGGGTGTTACAGGTTCTGGTAATTTTAAATGTGAGGACATAACAAAATTTTTTAATGAGAATAGTTTCAAATTATCACGGAGACATGATTGTGTTTCCATCTAGTATTTCCCTGCTTGGATTCAATCCATTAATTAGATAGTGATATCTGAGAAGAAGAGGAGAACTTGAAAAATAGGGGGCATGTAATCTCACATAATGCATACACGGAAAAGTGCGAGGTTAAACCACAATGCACTAAATAATTTACCAATGCGGACGTATATATTAATGTTATGTAGTAAAAAGAATATATACACAAATCATTTTTAGAAAAACATTTTTAGAAACGTACGTGAATGGAACTGATTATACATATACTTAATATAATACTACCTGAAAATATGCCTGAAACTGTTATTGCATCTTATGTTATACTTAAATTAGCTACGCAGAAATATTGCTCCAAGAATTTTCTGCTCCTGCTCAAATGGCATGTTCTGATATTCTTGTAAGATGCGAATATGTAGCTTAATTTGTGTGTTTGTTATGCAGCGTTTTAAACACGTTTTATGAAATGTTTTATATGGTAAATGTACGTTAATAAGCACCCGTTGACCTTCCACGTCCTCAACGTTACCAGCTATGGAAAAGTGCAGAGTCAAGAAACGTCATCAAGGGTGTGCTTGCTATTGTGGGCAGTTTGTACAAGCAACTCGCAATGTAACCAACAGATATCATCTACTTTTTATTGTAAACAAGACCAATTTTAGCTTAAATCTATATTGAGTATACATATGTTCCTAGTTGTATGGATACCTAAAGATGTCCCTTTCCTGTAACTAGTGTAATCAATTTGTAAAAAAAACGATAATTACGATACAAACCTCGATGATACACGTGTCGAAAAGTTTGACTATCATGGTACGCATATCGATACTTTACTGAATAAAATCCTTATCATATGGCAGCATAGTTTCATCAGAAAACGGAAGTTGCGTGACACAATTCACCGCTCAACAGCATTCGTTTACTTACCACTTCACCATATTGATTTGCAAGCTTTCACGTGATTGGTAGAGCCCCGTTTCAGTTTATAGTTTGCTAGATAGTTTTTCTTTAAAGTAGTGCAATACGTATCGTATCAATGCTAGGTAGTTTCTTATCGTACCATAAACGGTGTATTGTGATACTGTATCGCCCAACTCTCACCATATATTGCCTCAAAGAAAATTGTAATTGGTTTTTTCACGATTTCTGTCAGTAGCTGTAATCTGTGCGTGCGTGCGTGCGTGCGTGCGTATTGCTGACTTGAGGGACTTGTGCGGTGTGGCGAATACAAAGCATTGCATGTAACATCTCTTCCAGGTAGTTAAGCTACCTAAAAAAGTGGGAAGGTAAAGTTTGTCCTAGGTGTGAACAAAGACCAATTGGAACTGCAATTTTGAGTTTTCTCCTAGAGAATATTGCACCAGCTCTGTTGTCACGCCTTTGCATTTACGAGTTTGACATGTTAGATTTTCGTTTGCGATCTCTTTCTATGGATCTCTTTCTTTTTACTAATTCTAATGTGCCTTTTTATTGTAGCATGTACTACGTAGATATATTATAAATGACATAGTTTTCATATAACAGCAATGAAAAAATAATTTGACATGTTGCGAGAAAAGGTTAGAATTAGATTTTTAGAGGACAATGAAGGACTTGTGCAAAAATCATTTATTAATGTGAGATTTTTTGCAATTATTTACTCAGGTTGGCAGCTATAGCATGAGTATGTGCTCTCTCTCCATTATTAATTGTTTTATGATCTTGTACATAGTGTGATCGGTGGTGGCACCAATGTTAGTTAGATCTTGTCTTGTTTTGCTGGCTGCTTCATTTGTGTGTGGCGAATCATTTTATTTCAGTGCGTTTTAGATTCTGCTTAAAAAGTACAAAGTTTATAAATCAGGTTCTTGTAATTCTTAAATTTACTGAAATTAGACTAGCCGAAATAGAAGAGTCTTACACGTTTTTGGTTTTACATGTTATAAAAACTGTTCGAAAAGCACACGTGCACGATTATTTTATTTCTGTAATTCTGGGGAACGTTGGAGTTATAATTCTCAAAATTACTTGCATATTAGACTCAAGTGAAAAATAGACATACAAAACGGCTGTATATAATCATTATTATAAGCATATATAACAATATATTTACAAAACAACTATAACAGGGTTCAGTACAAAATAGTTTTCTTTGTGCAGTCATAGCAACTTGAAGGTACTTGACGTTTATATATACGAAAGTTTTTATAGGTCTATCACAACTCGCACTTTCGGGGTAACAGGAGACGCTGCTGGTGGTACCAGTTGAAACAGATCTACACCTGTCCACAGTAATCTTGAAATAATTACACATCTCTGTACAAAGAGACTGCCGTGGTCAGCATTCAGTAATACCTAATATATCAGCCAGCCATGTACTAGACTCATCGATTTTCATCACACGAAAACTTAGTTCCTGCGGCTATAACACCAGTCCATGATTTAAATGTTCGTTGCCTTGGACACTGCTTAGGTAGACTGCAACCGAAGGCAGAGCATGGACATTTTTATCAACATACAAACGTGACACGCCGAAAGTCGTTGAAAGCTGAACGCACCAAACGTCAACGCACCATTCTGAACATCCGATTGGGTACTCCGATGCAATCACGGAGATTTTTCGAAGGCTTCCCGCAGCTGAAGCATCGCTTATCGTCCGTGCATAGTGCTTAGCTGCTTCGTGGCAATGATGGCTTGCACGCTCTCTATACCTTGAGCACCGGCGGCCCCCCTGCCGTCACGAGTAGACGGCCACGGCAGTCAGCAGGTTGTAGGTGGAATAGCGCATGTGCAGAATGTTGGAGGACTTGGACGGAAAAGCACCGATCATCTCTGCCGACGAGTAGCCTTCTGTTGGCCTGCAGGTGAGGTAGCGAAGTAACGGCACAGTGTGACGTCAGGTTCGTATATTTATGGTAATACCACCCCATGTAAATTATGGAATTTCTCACTATGAAAGATTTTTCAGGAATGTATTACTTTCACAACATGGGGTATTACTGTGTAAGCTCATTAATGATAAAATATTACATATGCAAGTGTTTGGCATCATAGCACACCGACCTATTAATTGCAGTATTTATGAATGCATATTCTATGCACTTTTAATGACTGCATGTCATTATGCACATGAATCAATTTGTGATATATATTAAATATCAGTAGATAGTAATATGTATCCAAACTTACACAGTGTTTATGGTTGTCATTCTGACATCCCAAATTCTGGTAACATTATCCATTCCACCTAAAATACATGACAACCAATTAAACATTATTAATTAATTACCGATTAAATAATTAAACACATGATAACAGATTATAGAGATATTAGCTAGACAGTTAGACAAGCTAGAATCATTTAATTACGCATGGCATTAAAACCTTATTATTTTTCGTCCTTGGTCTTAATTGTGTGAAATCAGAGATTGGAGAAACAAGTGAGCTGATATTGCACATATTGATGTTAATATTGATTGATTTACTTTCGGATATTTACCTGATGCAAGCATAGATCCGAGCTTGTTGAAGCAGAGACTGTAGACAGAGTCTGTATGACCCTTCAGTTCTTTATACAGAGTACCAGCGGCAACATCCCAAATGCGAATTCTCCGGTCTTCGCCTGCAAGAAAAAAAATCACAGCAATGGAATCGACCAGAAAAACATTCACATACTGGAAAGCACCGACTGATTTGACCTAACTGTGTGGAGTGACTCACAGCTAGCTCCAGCCAATCACAGGTGGGATGGGGGTATTCTAATATGCTGCTTAGTAACCAAGTGAAGTCTCGACAATGTACTGTAAATGGGTAAAAGACACGTATAAACTGGTCAAGCCTGACTGACCTAGGAATATCCAAGAGGGCAGGGTTGTCTCGCTCAGATGTATACATAAATTCTTTTGTGGATGACATCTCTGCCATAGCTAATGGTTTTGTTATTAAGCTAGATCAAATACGGGTGAAAATAAAAGAATCGTAACATCGTCACTATGTCCTCCATTACCAACGTACCCGCAGAAGCAAGGTAATGTCCATCCGGACTAAATGCAAGTGCAAACACCGACCCCTGGTGCCCACGCAGAACCCTCGCCAGTTTTGCATCCTGTACATTCCACAGTCGCACCGTCCTGTCCACAGACGCAGTAGCAATGTAGTTGGAATTTGGATGAAATTTCACGCACTGCAATTAGAATACAGTACGTAAACACACATAGCCAGCATTTGCTAGCATAAAGAATCTTCATAAAATTCATACAGCCACTGTTTTTAGACTGGGAAAGATCGACTAGTTTCATCATCACGAAGCAATCCTCATCACAGTTAATAACACCATCATTACCAGTAAGCTACTGAACTTCATTCCCGTGGCGATTGTACCCCCATCATGCACCGAACTTGTAGCTGGCAAGTCAGTAGTTTGCCAGTCTGGTGTCCAATGACCGCTCATGGTCGCAGACAAAAACTAGTACTTGCCTCAACTACCAGGCTCATGCCCAATTTCAACCCATGTATAGCGTGCAATTTTGGACTCATCAATAGATACTAACACACTAACAACAAGATTTACAATATAGGCTCAGAAAGTAACACCACGATGATAAAATGACGTTTTCACGTCTAACGCAATTTTTTGTGTCAGATGTACATGGTACAGTTTTAGACTTGAGATTTGTCTCCCCAGATGCTGTGAGTTCACTCGTGTCATGCAGGAGCACTCACGTCTACATCGGAGTTGTGTCCAGCAAATACCCTGAGGGGATACGTCCGATCAAAGCTCCATAACCTCGCTGTCGCGTCTTTGGAACCAGTAACAAAATATATGCTGAGTGGACTGTAAGGGAACATGCAGTAAACAGGATCAGACACGATTTTAGGTCAGGTATGTTTAATACTAAAACTCGAATTATGCGCAGATCAGGACGACTAAAAATAAAATAAAACACGAACTCCAATGTTTTCGTGGTGAAGGTTTACCTTTAGTCTTGTTACTTGTAACTCAGCTCAATAAAGTATGTGTTATAAATCTATGTGCAATAGTATGTAAGAGTATGTGTTATAACTCATTAGCAATATTTACACATTGTCAGACAGTATGTCAAGTAACAAGTTTGAAGCAATTTTATTTGAGAACATGCCCATCACACCCTAGCTTACCTTATATCTAATGACCAAATAGGATAATCATGAGCTCTGTACACAACCGTATTGATAAATGTGTTCATGTCCCATAATCTCACTGAAACAATAATGGCATGTCAATTAACACCACAGTTCCAGTTTTTGAAAATATTTGAGTAAATAACATGTTCTAATCTAATACAATACTATATGCCCTGTGTAAAACACATACTCTACTAGTTGTAAAACCCATATGTGAAATACAGGGCCTAGTGTTTTTTAAGCATGTACATAAAGCTGAATCTGTCTTCTATACCATATTCGCCGAGTTGACATATTTAATCAGGACTTATACTAAACATAAACTAACTTATAAAGCTACTTGTAATAAATACAATTTGATAGCAGATTTCTAATGGTCTCAGAATAGCGAGAAAATCAGAAAATTACGAGATGAAGAGAACCGGTCACCTGATGTGTCCTCAGAAATGCTGAGTAGATGTTTGGAATCATGTGTGAACTGAGCATCATACACGGAGCCAGAGTGCCCCCTGAGTGTCACTGTAGTTTGTGATGACGGTCGATTTCACCCCCGCGGTCGCGAGCGTGAATCGCCGCATGAACCGACAAGCTCGCGGTCGGTCAAATTGCCGAGTTGCTCGACTTTCCCGTCGAAATCCCGGTTTGGATACTCTCGGAGCGACTCCCCGTTTTCCCCGCGTGGACTTCCTCCCAGTATTACCCGGTTTGCACGGAAGTCCAGGTTACCCGCCCCTTCTCTCCACTCATCGCAAGTCGTCAGGTTGTTGATTTGCTCTTTCCTCAGCTGGTGGAGATCGGAGGGAAGCCGAAGATCAAGCTGAGTCAGGACCTGGAGAAGGTGACCATACCCGGCGCAAAGGCAGTCTACAGGCTCTATGGAAAGGACGGTAGGTTCGCACTATTGCGCAACTCACTAATGCACCAATCCGTGATTATAATAAAAGTATTATATGAATAGTAATATAAAGGATGCAGGAGGGAAGAGTCTAGAATGAATCCAGAAGGTTAAGTGGGGAGCGTTCTGGATCGTTGTCAAGAGCTGAGGGTGCCACGATGGAAAGTCACAGTGAAGCAGTAGCAGTGGGAACAAAGTCTGCCCCCACCTGGCTCGCGTTACAGCACACACATAGATGACAATAGACCAGGTGTTATACCTGTGAATCCGTTGAGTCCGTGAAGCGAGGTGACCCACCCTTGCTGTTGTTGTTGTTGTTATTGTTGTTGTTGTTATTGGGTTGGTCAAGCCAGACCCATGTTTATACACGTGTTTGTTACATACACACGCCGTTGTCGACCGGTACACGTTGTAGCCAAGCATTATCTTTTAGAGCTCCGCTATCACATTGCTGATTGGCTACAGCTACTTGTTTGTTAAACTCTCGAGGCAGATGGTTCCTTTCTCGTCTCTCATGGAGTAACTCTATTGGCTGCTCCACAGCCTGCTATTGTTGTCATGCATTGTCCACCCTGGAATGTCTTACAGAGTAGGCATGATGAAATACACGGTGTCAGTGTACCGTGTCTAAATTCTCTAAACGTAGGTCTGTAACTGCATAGATCTACACAGAGGAAGCATAACAGGGTGTTGCGCATCTGAACGATACAAAAACCTTTTGGGTTTGAACTCTTGGATTTTGGAAATTCGTGTTTGAAAAAGCCGCGATACTCGCGACCACCATTTGGAGAGGAAATAGAATGCCAGTCGTTGTAGTAGCTGGTTTTCTCTCCCACTCATTTTGATGGAAGAACTTGAGTTTTTATGCTCGCATGCATGTGGCTCTAGTTTATCAGTAGCATTTCTGCCCTAGTTTGCTGAGAGCTTGACTATTGTTTACCGTTGTCGGCCCTGTCCGATAACGCACAGCAATGATATTCAAAAGTGCAATTTCATGTATTTACTGAGAGGCGGCATTTCACTGCACTAGTCGGTGTATAAATTTTGTCTGTGTGTGTCTGTCTGTCTGTCTGTCTGTCTTTCTGTTAGACTACCGAAATAATAACAGTGCATTTCCGTTTTAGGATTATGATTCAGTATTTCGAAATTTACATTTCATCAATGAAATTTTGGGTGAAGTTTTAATTTCATTTGATAAACAATACATTAGCAAACAAGCAGGTTTTGTTTTACTTCTGCTCAAGCTTTTTGTGTTTGTATAATGACTGATATATGAATTTGCATTATGATTATGGTACGATACCTCATAATAGTGAAAAATATTGTGTTGAAATGATGGTACACTATCACGCTGGTGTCATATTTGGCTGATCAAAGCGAGCGAACCTGAATATTACACCTTCAAAATGTTCGCGTATATAATCGATGTTCATAACTGCTTACGATGCTTCTGACAATGTACACCAGGTTTGTAAAGTATCCGCGGCAACTAACATTTACGTCAACTGATGTCGCGATTGCAGGAAAGGCGCTGATCGACCTCATACAGCGATGCGACGAGAATGTACCGGTGGCAGGAGAGAGAGTTCTGTGTCGGCATCCGTTCCACGAGCCGAAGCGTGCCTACGTTGTTCCTGCCAAGGTCGAGCAGATTCTGCAGTTGTTCTGGCAGGGTGGCAAGGTAAACGAGAGAACATATACGACGTGTGACGTAATACGACGTATCACGTATACGACGTGTCACGTATACGACG